TTTTCTAAAAAAAAATACAGCACCTTAGTAAAATGGCAACAACTCAAGCTACACAACTCCAATTCATACAAACTCAATACTTACATAACTTACACATGGAAATCTACAATTTTTATGAAGAAAACTTATTCATATGAACACTTTCGGGTCATCAAAACAGAGCACATATTCAACACTTAAACATAGGCATGGTTCATAAAAACTGGGTGTACATCCCACTTAGAAAAATCATATAAAATTCAAATCAACTCCTTTTTAACAAATTCCAACTCTCACAAGCAGCTTACAACATTTAATACATTTGACATGAAGAACATATTTTCATTCAGGCATGCTAAGATCATCAAAAATAGTCATGAAATAAGATCAACTTTTCTGCCCGAGTTTATAAAAACTGCACGCCTGTCTGCCTTTGAAAATTCATATAAAATCCATTTCAACTCCGAATTACAAAATTCAAAAACACACAGAAACATATCTCAAAGCACTACAAAATTCATGAAGAACACTCGAACAGAAAACAGCTACTCGATTACGTAAAACTGAGCACAACCAGTGGCTATAATTTGAGGGTTTTAATCCAATTTCCAACCAATTCACACACTCATGAACATAGCATCCAAAACATATAAATCATATGTTAAGCAAGCCTCGATTTCCATTCTTTTAGACTTAAACATTAGATAAATTGCAAATACGTTGTCCGAGGTCCAACTCGGTCTTATTAAACACGATAGAGCAATAACAACTTATGATTTCACTTGAATTATTACATATTTTCGATTTGATAATATAAAGCTTCAAATGAAATCAGCCCGGGCTCGAAAGAATCCGTTCTCGGGACACGCTACAATAAACGACCAAGAAAAAGAGCCGAACGGGCAACGAAAGGGTCGTACGGACTAAGCAATATACGAACAACGGGCCAGCACGGGCCTGCTGATGGAATCGTGGGACCACCGGGACTACATCGATCAAGCTCGGGACTATTCGAACAGCAGCAACACACGAATAGGATTGCCGCAAGAGGGCTGATCGATCGGAAATCGAGGGCAGCGGGGCTGGTTCTCACGAACAGGGATAGAGGGAGGTTGTTGGTCCCTCTCGCCATCGATGGTTGCAGCGGCTGGGCTCGCCAGTAGCAGCACGGGACGTGGCCTTCCTCGACGGGGCTCGACTGAGGCTCACGATAGAGCAGCGACTCAAGTACGACGGAGACGGGGCCTGCGCGCGGTGGTGGGTTGCCGGTGTTCACGCGGTGCGCGGTTTCTCCTGAGGCCTGAACGTGGTGATGAAGATGACGGGATGATGCTGGTGACGACGAACGATGGTGTAATCTCGCGACAGGGTGGAGATCGTCGGGCCTTTGGTCGTGAGCATGGGTGAACTCGCCGATGGAGCAGCAGGTTCTTCTCTTTTCTCTGATATGGTACGATGGTGAGGGGAAGAGAGATGAGAGTAGGCGTGATTTTGGATCGTGAGAGAGAAAGGGAGAGGAGGATGACCGAGGTGATGATACGATGGAGAGGGATTAATTAGACTAGGGTTGAGTTTATGGCTTAATCAACATAAAATAAAAATTAGGGCCTTAATCATTGGGCCAAAATTGCAAACTATTTGGGCCGGGTCTTTGACTAGGCGCGAGTTCACGGTTATAAAGGCTGGTTTACAAAAATTAATAAGGCTCGGATCCAACATAAATCGGTTAAGTGTCGAATCAACACAACGGATTAAACGGTTCACGAGATAATATTTATCAAGCATATTTCAGTTTAATATTTACCGACATTCGATCAACTTAATAAAAATTAAATCGAACGAACAATTATATTCGGCTCCATCGATAACTAAAATAAAACCAAAATATTTATATATACAATACATATAATAATATTTATTTATAATACACATTAAACACATAAAATCAATTAGACAATTAATAATAATAATAATAATAATAATAATAATAATATAATTATTAATCCCAAAAATATCAATAAATAAACGGGGCATTACACTGTTACTATCTCCCGTAGTGGGATTTACATGTTTTGCCGTTACGGTTTCCGCTGACTTTTCATGTTTGTTAAACTTAGCCCTTTGGATCCGATTACCCATCGGAATATTTAAGTTATGATAGTCCGTTTTTCTTAAACACTAAAATTATGGATTTTAAAGCAAGGTTATGTCTTACGGTAGCACTCCGAGTTATGATTTCGCAAACCAAAAATGTTTTATTTAGAAAAGTTTTGCGAAAATCGCACTCTAATATTTATGACTTAGCGGGGTGTTACACTGTGTAACCGGCCTAACCGCCTCTTCGGGGATATCTGGACCGACCTTCTCACCCCGACCATTTCTATCTTTTTGTGGTGCCTCCTATTACGGTGCATTCCCATCGACACTGTGATGCAGGCGAGAGGGTTTTCCTTTCCCTCTCGTTGCCATTGTTGTGCTGAGACCGGTACTTTTGAGATCGAGACTTTCACCCATCTTTTCCTTGGGAGTGAGATTGTGAAGAGAGTGTGGGAGCACTATGCCAGATATACTCACATACCGCTACCCACCACAGAAGTTTTTTTGAGCTCCTGAGTTTTTTCCTACACCGCACACACAGTAGACACGTGGGCTTCCTTATTCCTTGTCTGATCCTAAGGTCCACCTGGACAGAAAGGAATAACACGAAGCATAGGGATATTATATTTTCTTGTGCTCACATGATTTTTCAGGTTGACAGACACCTCTCTCTCTCTCTTCACCGTCCTGGGCAGACTCACGATGAGAGACTTGACAGGTTGTACACCGCCTCATTGCTTGAGGCCATCACCTCCTTTACTTGTCCAGCACCCACGACTCAGGACCGTTGTTTGGCTGAAACCCAAGCCTCCTTGGGTTAAGATAAACACGGACGATGCTTTCGATAGACATACTAGAGCTGCTGGAGGAGGAGGCCTGATTAGGGATCATGGTGGGACACTCATATCTGCCTTCCATGGGCCACTTCGGGCCTCCTCGAGTTATGACGCAGAGATTCAGTCGCTCCAGATTGGATAGAGATGGAGCTGCAGCTGTCACCACACTTTTGACATCTGGCCACCAGGGCTTATGGCAGATCCATCATCCTCTTATGCACATCAGACACTCTCCACTCGATCCATTACCAGGTCTCACACATATTCCGAGAGGGGAACCACCCCGCCGACTTTCTCGCTATCACGGGGCAGCTATACCTCAGAGATGCATCCTTCATCTAGAGCACATTCCCCTCCGGCTTCAGACCCTCATTCGGATAGACCAGCTAGAGTATCCTTCCTTCATATTCGGTTGGACGCCACCACCGGATCCTGACTAGACTTGTTGTTTTGGACTTCATGCCAGGACACCTTGACCAGGATGACCTTCCATGAGGACTTTACTTTAGATCTACATCAGAAATTTTGTGACCCATGTACTTTTTGTTTTTTTCTTTTTTGATGATGTTCTATGTCTATTGACATTGATGTAGACCTTTGACTTTCTAGCCCTCTCTGGGCCGTTATATCCACAGGTTGGGGGTGTAGCCTCAACCCCGCATCCCACACTGGGATGTATATACAAAAAAAAAATCTTTGAAAGCTCATTTAAGACTGCCAGCAAGGTTAGCTGCTTGACCGAGAACTGACGTGACGTCCGACTCTGTTAGTCTGAAGAGTCGAATGAGCTAAGCCTTCATTATTTAGTAACCGTGATTAGGATTGTTCCTGGATGAGGAACCGATCCTTGTTTCTTTTGGGAAATTTTCCCGACCTCTATCGTTGGTTGATCAGTGGATATTGTGTTGATTAAAGAAGGTGGTGGACTTGGAACTCAGGTCATGACATATAAAGTTTGACACCCTTGAAAACTGTTGAAATTGTTTGTACCTAATGTACTCATCTTTGGTTGAACCTTAAATTTTTGTAGTTTGTAATTTTTGTGTAAAACCATTATTCCTTCTGCTTACCTTGGAAATTATGAACCCGGGGTTAGAGAATGTCTTCTCCTGTACCTCGACCCGAAAACCGACCCTGGTTGGGCATAGCCACGCGAAGTGGTGGTCGAGCACGCACGCCTGTGCTGAGAGGCGAGATGCCAACTGCAGTGGTCAACCATTGACTCGCATGAGAGCTGTCGCCGCCATCACCAAATGCCAAACATCCCAGGCCAGTGCATACGGCCAAACCTTGACCTTGTAGTCAGTCCCATACCGTTGATTCGTATTTAAACCGTTCAACCAGTTTTTGTACCGAAATGTGTTGGGAAACCTCTTGAACCTAGTCTTTTGAACTTTGAACCGAGAGCTCCGAGTTCCACCAAACCGATGTATGACCACTTAATTCTCGATTAAGTGAGTTTTTATTGTTAATCGCTTAGCCGTATGAGGAATGTTCCTCGAACTGGATGATAAATGTAGCGCCCCGATCAGAAATAATATTAGAACGTTTCACTGCTCGACTATAAGTAAAATCCATATTTTTTTTAATTTTTATGCTACATGTTCAATTATGTTATGTTCGAGTTGTTATCGATTAATATGTTTGAAATATCTCTCATTTGTGCCGAAACCTAGTCGCACGTTCATCGGTGCCACAAGACCAAGCCGCGGTCCGTGACTCGAGCCTTAGCATTTACGTGCCACACGCACTAGCACTCGTGCCGAGCCCTAGCCTAGGGCTAAGGGTCCGCAAGTCGAGTCCCGCATTATCTGAGCCTTCTCGCGCCTTGGCCAAGCCCCAACACATGTTTCCTAAGTGTTGGGATCACAAGAGAGAGAGCACTGGCCTCAGCCCAAGTCATTCACACGCGCAGCCCAGCAGTTCCCGCACCAGAAAGTAGTTAGCCAGTGCACGCGAGCGGACAGGCCCAGCGCGCGCGCGTGATGAGTGATCGGAGTGTTGATCGCGGTTGTTATCTATTCGATTATATGTAATCGCGCACTCGGGCCTTCGACTACACACGATAGATGTGAATAACAGACGCACTACGGCCTTCTTTTAGACGCGTATGACTTCAAGACGCACTAATGGCCTTCTCTCCGACACTTGTATGTAAACACGCACTACGGCCTTGCTTAACACACGTTAGAACACCAAGTTCCCCTTTTCTATTCACTCATCAATTCTCAACCTTCTTAATAATGAAGAGTACATGGGTATTTATAGATGCATAAAATAAATCTAAGACTAAGCTAATTAGATCTCCTAATTCTAGAATGAAAAGCAACATGGTAATAAAATCCTAATATTACTATAACTACTAATTGCTTGACTTGCATTCCAAACTACTTGAAGCACAAGTAATTCGCCCCTTAGAACCTTCAGCCGCCTTCTATACGTGCGTGTCCTTCGCGCGCGAGCCATCGCGTGCCGCCTCCACCACTCCTATACCCATGCGGCATGGGTCGCCTGTCCCGCACGCGCGCGTCTTTGTGCGCGCCCAGTCCACGTCGCCCTTCCCTTGTGCGTGCGCGCCCGCCTATCCTATGCCCCCGCGGACTAGGACGTTCGCGCTTCCGCCCCACTCAGGCACCCTTGCACGCGCCTTACTTCTGCTGTCGGTATCTCATGCGTCCTCGCCACCTGCGCGAGCGCCGCGCATTTCTACTCCTACTCGATCAAGGCCTTCGCCCGCGTCGCCCCACGCGTCGCTGCCCGCGCATAATGCGCGCTTGCGCCCCGACCGCCGCGCGTCCCAACCATCGCTTGCACACCTGCCGCACGTGCGCCCGTGTACTCCCCGCACAGCCCGCGTGCGCAACTTGTTCGCCTATTCATGCGCATCAAGGACCGATGCGCACCTTTCGCATTTTAGCCCTTCACTAGACTTGTCGGTGATGATCTCCACTTCCGTATCATTCTCCTCCTCTTCAAGACTTTCCTTGTCACCAAGGATAATGAAATTTAGCTTTCGGACTCGACCATCATCTTCATCCTCGTCGGATGACTCGCCTGGATCCTCAGTTATCAGCTTAACCCTCTTACTCGACCGCCCGAACTCCATAGTTCCTCTCCAATAATCAATTGTGATTGGACCAAGAGTCTCCAACCACTGGCATCCAAGTACTATATTAGTCGCCTTCAATGGCAAGGCATACAAATCCACTCTCATCTTCTGACCATGAGCTTCCATCTTTACACCTTTGAAGAGAATGTCCCCTCGAAGCGTTTCTCCGTTTGCTACTTTGACTCCAAAAGGCTTAACCTTTGTGAATGGAATCTCGATCTCCTTGGATAGCTCTTCTTCAATGAAGTTCAGCGTAGATCCGCTGTCAACCAATACCTCCACCAATTTACCTCTAATTTCAGCTGTGAATGTGATCATCTTCGGACCACGCTTTTTGCACTTAACCATATGCAGCAAAGACTCCTCATGCGGCTTATCTTCCTCACCAACATATTCCTCCTCAAATTCCAACAAAAATACCTCCTTACCTTTGCACTTGTGGCCTGGCGTGAATTTTTCATTGCACATGTAACATAGGCCTTTTTCCCTTCTCCGTTGCATCTCGTCGTCCGTCAGCCGCCGTACGTTGCTCGTTGTTCGCACCATATTTCCCATCGGCTTGCTCTCGGTCCTCGGCACTTGTTCCTCAGTCACGACGTGCGTGCGTTTTGGCTCTATACGC